CATGTTTGATGTACTCCGGCTGTTGATTAGCATTAGTATAAAAAAAAACGTTCTCATATTTGATGTACTCCAGCTGTTGATTAGCATTAGTAATAAAAAACTTTCTCATGTTTGATGTGCTCCAGCTGTTGATTAGCATTAGTAATAAAAAAAAAACGTTCTCATGTTTGATGTACTCCGGCTGTTGATTAGCATTAGTATAAAAAAAAACGTTCTCATATTTGATGTACTCCAGCTGTTGATTAGCATTAGTAATAAAAAACTTTCTCATGTTTGATGTGCTCCGGCTGTTGATTTAGCATTAGTACTAAAAAAACCTTCTCATGTTCGATGTGCTCCGGCTGTTGATTAGCATTAGTAATAAAAAACGTTCTCATATTTGATGTGCTCCGGCTGTTGATTAGCATTAGTAATAAAAAACGTTCTCATATTTGATGTACTCCGGCTGTTGATTAGCATTAGTACTAAAAAAAAACATTTCTCATGTTCGATGTTTTCCGGATGTATATTCTTGAAGATCTCCCACGTTGTTCCAGCTTATTAACATGATTCACACATTCTTCATGCGATCCTTTGTAGTCTTTAACCCTAGTTAACTCCACAATCGTATATATTAGTTCATCTTATCCAGTACAATCACTTGTGTGTTCTATAACCTCATTTTCTTTTTGGCAAACCTTTACAGTTCACTAACATGTACACACCCATTGTCTTTCACGGTATCTGCAGTGGCCATACTTATATAACTCTGTTTTCACACTATCTTATGTTATCATTTAGCTGTTGCCCCCTCCCCCCACAGCGGCTCAGTGGTAAGCTAAAATGCGGGGTTTGATTCCTGCTTTTTGCTTAACAACGAAAAATAAATCTATCAGATATTGTCTTTTGCTGTTTCTATTGCCATCACGTCTACCATTTAAACTGGTCAGATAATTACTAAATGCGATACTCACAGATGTACCCAGGGTTCGCATCTAAAACGGAATTACATTATAAAGTTATGTTGGTCCCCAATGTTTTATTGTAACTAGCTTTCCTTCGTAACTACTACGTATCTATCTTGACAATAACATAAATGATTCGAAATAAATGTAGTGACCACAATTGATTCCAGTGTTTGTATTAGCTGCATTAAAAATGCACTGGTAGTTATTTTCGAATAACTGAAACTTTTGTTGTTGTTGTTTTTTTTTTCAGAGTTTGTCCGTATACTGCTGTGAAGTGGATTCCGCGTCTTGTGAGAATCTGTGAAGAGGTTACAAGCACGTGTTAAGAGTCACATTCGAGAACTAACAATAACAAATGCTTTGTACTATCCGTAGTTGGACAACAAACATCTTTGTCGAACAATAACTGGCTCTTCTCTAAAATTAAACGTCTAACTGATAGTTTGTGTGATATTACGTCACAATAAGACTGATAGTAAAGCGTGCGATTAAACTTGTACTCTTCATGCTGGAAACGCGTCTTCAAACTACGGAACAACACATCATGCTTCGTAAGCCTAGGCATTATGCACCACTAAACATTAATTGTTTCAAGCGTTTATCTGAGAAAATTATCATTACCTTCGAAAGTGACAATACAGCATTTCCGGACTTAGTAATAACAAGAGTTCCATCCTGCTATCGCTGTTGTTATGACAAAATAATTCTATGAAATACAATCAATACCGTCTCATCACAAGGAAGCATCCAGAAACGTTGTGAAACTATAAAACGAATATAACGTGATCACAGGAAAAGAAAATATTTAAAGACTTGTTATAAATAATCTGTTTTGGTTTTTTTACTTTCTTTCTTTCTTCCCCCAAAAACAAACTAACTTAAATATTCATTGGTAATTATTTTTCATAAATAGTACAATAGTTTATGGCGTATTCTGGTGTATTAATCAATATATACATATATAATCATTGAGCTGATCGATAGAAATGTTGTTCTGGATCCTTCCGGAAATTTAACTTTGTGTGCTTCATGATCTACATGAAACGTATTGTAGCTGGTGTGATTCAAAGTCAGTGTTATTGGTTTTATCCAGAAAAATTATCCTCTGAGTTCCAGAGTTATACTAACCATCGTTTCTAAGAAATGTGTAATGTATATAACAGAACTGAATGTACCATCTAATATTATTTGCATTTATTAAGTCAAAGCTAGAATTGATTCTTATAAAAGGGATTTTTTGTTAAAAAATAAAATACCCCCCATCGTGTAGTGTCACTGTGCGTTAAAAATTTAATTATTTTATAATAAAATACCCCCCCCCCATTGTGTAGTGTCACTGTGCGTTAAAAATGTAATTATTTTATAATAAAATAATCCCCGCATAATTTTTGTCTTGGAAATTTTGTAACTAATAAAGCTTAATATTAACATATATTTTTAATTAATGCTGTGCATTTTTTAGCGTCTATCTTACATCTTCATTACCTTTGTGATGTTTCGGATGCAGAAATACCTCGTCAATGTATCTCACAGGTAATAATTTTATAAGCTATTATTTCTGTGAGCTAATATGGAAAACGTTGGCAGGTTGAAATATTATGGATGTCATGGTTACTGTTGTATTTCCAGACAGTTATGATGTAGTGATATTTTTGCTAATGAATCTACACTTCTTATTCACAATTTCTGGATGGTGTTGGTTCAGCCAAGTAGAAAAACTAAACTCATATTAAACATAGGGTATTCTTAAACAAATTACCAGTCATTTCCTCATTTGCGTGACGAGGCACCCTCACCAATAATTTAATAAATAATGTCCAAAAAGTACGTAATGAATAGAAATATGTTTATTTTGATCGTATTGTTGTGTTATCGGCAGAATTTTAAACGCTGGCTTTGGGAAAATGTGATTCAGTATTTGTATTATGTACATTAAGACTACGGAGGTTATATTCATTCCTCTGTGGGTGAGAGGGATAACACTGCTCCCATGTTGATATATTATTTGTTAAAAGATGTTAATGTTAAACATTTCAGAAGAAGTCAAAATCTACCTGATAATCACAGCTGATAAACAATGAATATTTACCTTTCTATACAAAAAACAAACAAACTCATATATAGTTGTTATCAAATTCGATCTTATAACTTGGACTATTTATGTCTGTGACTTGGGATAAAGTAGTGTTTATTTGTACATTTTGATTTTAAGCTATGTTATTTATTATATAATCATTCTTTACTAACATTGGTATTTTAACTCTATGACGTTAAACAACAACGTATTTAATAATCAAGAAATTCAGAAAAGTGAAATGCACCTGATAAGAAAATTAAATTGTTATATAAGCCATAAAGCGCTACTAGATGGCAGCTCTAGCGATTAAATATAAAACTAACTCTAAAGTAAACTGTCGCTCGATTGGTACTTTATGTAAGTTTCTTGTTAACGGAAATTTTAGGGTAGATTTATTTGTTTGTTTTTTAAAGCAAAGTCACAATGGACTATCTGCTGTGTCCACCGCTAGTTTTGTTACTACCAAATTCGAGAGGGAGTTACAAACCTACGTGTACTTACAGATATATATCAATACAAAATTGTTTGAGATCAAGTTCTAACAAATATACAATAATAAAATAAATCCTGCAAAAACAAATTGATAACTTTCACTCAAACATTATTTAATTTCTAGAGCAACGCAATCTATGATTTATTTCAAATACTCCCCGGTGGGAAAGCGATAAATTAACGAACTTACAACACTAAAATCAGGGGTTCGATTAACAGTTCTTTGCAAACCATTTTATGCTAAACTGTCAGCGAAATCAGACACTCAAGGGTAAACTTTGAGATTGTTTTTAATCGTTATTTTGATTTCGACAAGAGAAAAAAAGAATCAACATTTTACCAACATTCAGATAATAATGAAGACTACATACAGACATATTTCAATCAATTAAAACACACATCACAATAACTTTGAGTGAATACTAGTTTCAATTTCGATCTACACTTTAGAACATCATTTTTAGCACACCGATTTACTCGCGATACGTTCGATTTGTGTAATTCTTTAAACTACTTTTTATTAAAGTAATATTACTGTTACTTGAGTAAGGAAGCACATTATGCTTACGAAATAAGAAGTTGTCAAACAACGATTTATAAGCATAATGAAGTGATTTATTTTTTGGGAAACGTATTTCGTAAATCGTTGTTTGCTAACTTATTATAATATTACTGTTAGTCCAAACATCTTATGGTGATATCCAATGAAATATTTGTTTGTTTTTTTCGATTTGCAATAGTTTCATTTAACCTACTATAGGGGTATGTTTAATACAGGCTATCACTGGTTCAGGCTTAGGTGATTTGTAAAGGAAAACCGTTCGTTGCTTATCTCATGTAATGTATTTATTGTAAAGCTTTGTGATAAAATAAACGTTGAAATAATGCCAGATATAACACTTTTATAGTTTTCATTTGGAAAATAAAAAGAAAGAAGACCTGATGACTGGTGCACACTTGTTCTTCACCACAGCGTTTTAGCTGATTGTAAACTTTTCATTATATAGTAAATATCCTTAAATTTTCCAGTAAATACTCTTAAATTTCCAGTAAATACCCTTAAATTTGTCAGTAAATACCCTTAAATTAACAGTAAATACCCTTAAATTTTCTAGTAAATACCCTTAAATTTCCAGTAAATACCCTTATATATCAAATTTACCAGTAAGGATATTATGTTAATTTATAAATAAGAACTCGTCACACTTAAAAGAAATGTAAGTAAAAATGCGTTTGTGAAATTTATTTTTTAATTTCAAAAATATGATGGTGAAAAGTATTTTCTAAAATGGGCTATGTATGTTAAGTCCACTGCAAGAGCCCCCCAGTGGCACAGCGGTATGTCTGCGGACTTACAACGCTAAAAACCGGGTTTCGATACCCGTGGTGGGCAGAGCACAGATAGCCCTTGTGTAGCTTTGTGCATAATTAAAAACAAACAAACAATCCACTGCAAGAATTGAATCTCGAAATTTAACGTTATGAGCCCTCAAGCTTACCGCTAACCATCGGTAGGCTTTCT